TTGTTGATGCCAAAGCTGCCAAAAATAATTGCGGCAAGAAAGGAAGTATAATAGTAAATAACTATCTAAGATTGATGCTTTAATTTAGATGAAAGGTTAATTTCATATAATACTTTTTTATTATTATAATTTATATGAAAAAGGCTAAACATGACTGAATGGAAGCATAAGAGTAAATAACTATTTCAGATCATTATTATAATTTATATAAAAATTGCTAAACATAACTGAATGGATGCCTGCATCGCTATTTCGCTACCGACTTATCGCTAAAGCATAATTTCATCTCATTTGTTGTTCAAACGTAACTTTCTATAATGAATGATGCCTATTCTTTGAAAATATTCTCGGTAAAGTGCAGAATCGCTAACTTATTTGTTTGCCACTTTTTACAAGAGTAAAAACAATTGGATTTTTGTCAATTTTTAAGTGAAAATAGGTCGATGTGTACATGGACACCGAGTATGTGCAATTCTTAAAAACGCGTCAAACAGTGGATGATTCTGCACTTTACTCAAAATTCTACTGCCGACTTTTTGTCATGGGCAATTCCCTAATTGTTAAATCCACAGGATATTAAAAAAGGATTTAAAAATTAAACTAGTATTTCAATTGTGCCTTAAGAAATATAGAATATATAAACTTATGCAATCAGAAATCAGTGCATACGCTAGATTTGGCACGCTGTTAAATGGCCCCGTTTGCTATATTTGGTGCTTTTGCGCATACATTTTCACTGCAATTTTTTACAGTCCTCAAAACGGAATAGTACCGATTAAGCAAACTAGGTATTTGTTCAAGGAAAGGGATACATACATAAAGGATTTTCCAAAAATTGTGGACTTGTGTTGTATGCGATCTATCATTTTTAGTTAGTTACTTATTTTTTAGATGACCATAATAAAACTGGTAGTTGTTTTAATAATTTTTTGGGCAGAATGGCCCACTTATTTGGTGCATTTTGTTTGTCACTTTTTACATGAAAAAGAACTGGATGCTCCTTTGAATTTTTAAGAGAAAATAGATCGATATGTACATGGACAATGTCAAGAAAGTGCACAATGCCGATTTCGTGCAATTCTCAGACTTTTTTTTTTAAGTGAAAATAGGTCAATGTGTACATGGATACCGAGTTTGTGCAATTCTTAAAAATGCACCAAGCAGTGGGTGATTCTTCATTTTCCCCTGTGCCCATAGTTCCTCATTTGAATTTAAAAACAGTGTTTTAGTTGCACCATCTAAGAAATAAAAGCAGTATATGATATATTGCTTGATTACCAAAAATTGTGTCACATTTACATTACAGAAGGGGTAAATCCTAAAAATATTAATGCAGCCAGTCAATTTAATGGTGAATCAAATTACTAGTATTCGACAATGTTATCCATTTCACCATTAGTTGGCAACTAACTAACTAATTTTATAAACCGCTTCGTTCAATTAAGAACACTACGGTAATTAGTTGGCAAGAATGATTCTTATATATGAGGCTCAGATAGTATGCATGTCTTCCTTTTAACCTCTTCAGGACGGGTGTATCATATATGCATCAGCAGTTAATTATCTTACGAGATGGCATGCCACTTAGCCAATTCACCTTGGAGACGATTTGTTGAAGCAGTACGATCTTGCAAGATGGGATATTTCATATCGCTATGCCTAGCTTTAAATATATTCATTATAATATTTGCTTTTATCAACTGTTTTGATTTTTTCAGTAACGATATCTAAAACCAATATAATCATAAATACAGAATATCAGGAGATTCTGAAAAAATTTTTTAATTCTAAATGCAAAATAAAATATTTGACTCATCTTGATGAAATGCTGTAAAAAAACTTACTTAAATCTCTATCTAAACATGCGTAAAACATAATAAAACATATAATCAAATATTATAGCATACATCATTTAGAAAAGAGACAGTATGTGAAAATCTAGTTGCTATCATTTCATTAAGTACAAAACACATTTTCAGGCTGAACGTTTTAATTATTCCCTCCCTGCAGAATAATCCTAGGAATCTCCTCATTTTAGGCACATCTAGAGTATGTTGATTTTTTATAAAGATGGATTTTCACTTATCTTTTGTTCATAGAAATTATTACTTTTTCTAACTATTGTGTTCATTCTACAGTACAAAGTCTGTAATCCGGAATGATCTATAATCCGGACCTCAAAGCTACAAAGTTTATGCACATGCGTGTTTAATGTACAACGAATGGTATAAGCTAGGCTAAAATTATCTAAGGCATTTCAGTTAATGTTGAACTTGCGCTGTTACTTAATCTTCTAATTGGATCCGGCTTATTATTTTTTGCAGACTGTTAGAACAATTTTATAAAAATTAAGCTTGAATTTTCGATTATGTGAAAAAGAGTTTTCAATTCTGGAGGATTCAAAGGATCTACAAAGCGAAAGCATGTTTCGATGTCCATTAAATAAAAAGTGGAATTGCTGCAAAAAAATGGATAAAGGCCTATCGTCTCAAAATTATGCGAGAAGTATGGCATTGGAAAATCCACTATATATGACACAACAAAAAGGAACTTTTTGAATTTTTTGTGGAAGCATCTTAAACAACTTACATTGAAAGAAATGTTTAATAAAGCAAACAAATAAATATTAAGCTTTTTTTTTGTAAATTTTAATATCCTTTAGATCATAATTGTTCTTTATTTCATAAATTACGATTTCATATTTTTAATTGTATAATTTCTGCATGCCATCTTACTAGATTTAAATTAATGATCTATAATCTGGAAAAAACCCTAATTCAGAATCACCCGATCCGGAGTCCCAAGTCCGGATTACAGACTTTGTAGTGTATTACTGAAAATCAGTTTCATTTTCATAATTCGATTTAGAGTTATAAAAATGAAATTGATTTTTTGGCTAATCTTTGGAATATGGTGTTGGTGTTGGTGTATTTAATTATGGCAAAGCACACTAGGGCTATCTGCCTAAGTGGAGGGATGCCTTTCGTGGAGGACTTTCTAAGGGAAACTGGCTCGTATACACGTTACACATGGGGAAAACCACGAAAACGCCCATGCAGCCAGCCCGTTCGCGGGATTCGAACCTCGGACGGAACTACCAGTGTTCAGCGACTTTACCACTCGGCCGCTGGTGGGCCTTTGGAATATGGTAACAGGTAGTCTGGCAACATTTTGGTAAGGCGATAAAGGTTACTAGCTAGTAAGTTGGTATATTTAATTATGGCAAAGCACACTAGGGCTATCTGCCTAAAGGGAGGGATGCCTTCGTGGAGGACTTTCTAAGGGAAACTGGCTCATATACACGTTACACCTGGGGAAAACCACGAAAACACCCATGCAGCCAGCCAGTTCGCTACTAGCTAGGACTTTAGCAGTGTACATGGATAGAGTCAAGAGTGTGCACAATGCCATTTTTGTGCAATTCTGGAATGTTTTTTTAAGTGAAAATAGGTCGACGTGTACATGGATACCGTGTATGTGCAATTCTTAAAAACACGCAAGCAGTTTGCGATTCTGCACTTTCTCCCAATTTCGCACCTAATCTTCGTCATGATTAAGCACTTTTGTTCCATAAAAGTTCTAGCATAAGCGTAATTCGGCTAGCAGATTGTTGGAAAAAAATGTTGAGTAAAAAAAAAAAAAAGGCCTTTACTTCGTGAAAGTAAAATGGCGTCAAAACAAAAACTAGCATGTTGCTGTAGCAGGGTTGGTCGCCAAGTTTTCATAATCCAAAGATTAACCAATTTTTTTACTTTTTACAAGTTTACTTCTTCAATTCCTGTAAATTCATAAGGCTTCAATTACTCAACAGATCGAGTTCATGACGGAGTAGCCACTGTTCTGCTGGATTGTGTGGTGAAAGCAAAACAAACTTCCAATCAGTATCTGAGATAATTACAGTATCAAAATCACTATTCTCACTTAAATCTAGTTTCCGGTGTCAAAATAGTTACTCATGGGCTTTACAATTCGAATATTCTCTTCTTCCATTAAAAACTTTTTTTTTTCTTAGACATTGCACTATTAGTTTAACTCTATTACATGGTGCAAAAAACTTGCGTCTGCTACCTAAAGAAGATGCAAATGGAATACGAACCGGATTTCCTAAAATCACAGCTCCACTCCCAATCTTCCCATAAGGAAAAAAAATTGAAGCATTGGAAACTGCAGTGTTTATATCATGTGAAGCCAACTGCAGATCAGCTGGGTTTGTTTACCCAGCTTATCATGTGCTCGTACATAGAGTGACATTTAGCGATTTAAAAAAATTCTAAAAAAATGTATGTTTGAGAATGCATATATACAACACCCACCTGGAAGATCAATCAAGCGGCAAGCATCGGTGCATCACCCAGCTGCTAGCGACATTTGGGACTGATGCTACATATGACATATGCTATATATGACATGATGTCATATATATATATGATGCTATATATATGACACGATGTCATACATGACACACCCATCTGCAGAGTTTTTAGTTCAGCAACATGCTGTCACGAAGGGGTTAACATAAGTGTAAAATGTCAAAAAATAATATAAACAATGTATACATTAAAAAATGTAGATTTATAACTTTGGCATGATGATGACAAATACAAATAATCAACAAGAATCTTCACACATGCCACCTGTTGTGTAGAGATTTGGAACTTATGGTTTAAAATCAAACTTTTAAATTTATTTGCATATTTCCATATTAAAGAACTAGAATATCACAGAATCAAACAGCTAACCTGCAAGTTGTTCGTAAAACTGTGTTATCTAAACAAAAACCAGACAGATAGCAATGTTGGCTTGCATAAAATCTGTTATTCTATTAAAAAATTTTAATTGAGTAACAAAACTTAGTTATTTTTAAATGCAAATACCATAAAAAAATTTTGGACATAATTATAAACCAATTCATTAAAATTACACATATTAAATTAAAACATTATGAATCATATAGATATAATTTATAAATTTGTTTAAATATACTTATCTATGACACTTACATTAAGAGACATCCTGCCTAGAAGTTTATAATCTGTAAAAAAGAAAAAAAAAAAAAAAATTAATACATTCAGATTCTGGAAAGCAGTGTATTTAATCTGTTCCTAAGAAAATGAAATTAAGTTAGTAGTTCAGAAAACACACAGATTAATTGTCCCCTCAAAAGCAAAATTTCACAGATTTTATAGAATTCAGTTACCTAAACAACCATGGAAGTAAATACTAAGCAAAGTTTTATTTTAGTTCATGCCACAAGAATGCAGTTTCAGCATTTAAATATCCGTCATAATGTTAAAGGAAAAAAGTCATGATTTCAATTTACAGTCATAGTATGAAATCATTAGTGAGAACGTATTATTTAAAGATGTACGGCTAAGATGACTGCTACAAGGAAGCATCCATAGACAGGAAAATTACCGTAACATATACATCAATTGATATTGCAACACCACGTTGCATTTTGCTTACAGTTTTCGGCATTTAAATAATAAACCTGTTTGAGCGATTACGATTAAGCGATAATCAACCTAGCTGTCTGAAGCTGGATGGCTAGGATATAGGAAGAAAGGAAGGAGTAGCACCTTTCTTTCTCTAACAGAGGAAACATTTAACTTGTAGATGTAGTAGGGTGTGAGTTTGTGATGAAATGTATGGGCGAAAATACGGTTTATCAAAGTTATATGTCCAGTTATAGTCTAGAAGCGCAAAAGACGTAAAATATCGAAGGGTATCTACACTTAAGAGAAAATTATGCTATTTTAAGTAGGGAGACTGTTAGTAAGTAATGCGAAAGAAAAGAATGATTTGAAGAATTATTTGACGGGATGGGATAAGAGTCCTGACTACGCAAAAAAACTGACAATCTCCTTTTTTCACCTTACATCACTCCGGACTAGTATCGAGACAGTTATCAGAAATTCAAAATTCTTGTGAAACGATTTAAAGATGTAAAATGCTTGCTATTTAAAGACTTTCAAGGCCGAAAGTCTATCTTGCGATAGAATTGACTTGTTCAAGTCTGAATTATGGAAGTACTGAAGTTTAGGCACATCCGACTACTACACAAGTTGTAAAGAAAATTTTCTGTACGCTCGACAGTTCTGTACACTGATCAGTTCCCTTTGCAATTCGAAACTAATGCATATTCTTTGACAGAAGAAGTAATCTTCGAAAGCAGAACAAGGAAGGATAATTAATATTTATAATACAGGAATTCATTTTAATTGACGAAACTTTCCCTAGTTTATGGACGTTCAAACTTTCGTAGTTTCTTGCAGAATACTCCAATAAAAATATGTCAATAGTTACACTATGCGACAATCAAAACTGAATCAGAGACAGTTGAGCTCTTTCAAATAAAAATTAATTCGAAGGAAATTTAGCTTCAGAAATTATGTGCACAGATTTTGAGAAAGTTAAGTCTGAGCTCAATATTCAAAATATTCATCAGAATACATCCTCTCAATTTATGCTTTAAATGAAAATTGATACAGTCTGTACTAATTATCATGTTCATGTCCATTAGTAATATGGCGACATCCTCGTGCCACTCTAGCACCTAGTGTATTGGTATGTAATGTTGAATTCCGGATCCATTTGAGTCTGTGACCAGGCCCGCGCCAAGCCTAATCGGCGCCGTCGTGCAAATGTCTAGCGAGCTCCTATATGTAGTGACGATATTAAAGGAACGGTGCTTATAATTAACATTTAAAATGAAGCATTATTAACATAATAATATGACCCTTCCCCCCAAAAAAATTTTTTCTTTTGTCTAAATATGTTAACATATTGTGCTTTGTTAAAAAAACAGACTCAAACATATTCATTGAAGAATTATACTTTCATTTATGTTACAAAAAGCCGCCCAACCGGTACAGTGGTTAGCATTGCTGACTGCCGTGCCGAAGGCATCCGGTTCGAATCCCGGAGAAGACATGGATGTTTTAAATATACAGTATCCGTGCGGCATGAGGACACTCTAACTAGGCGAGGCGAAAGTCCTCTTGAAACGTTGATGGTAGGGGAAGAGGGGTGGGAGACGCTCGGACCCGTCTTCCCAGGGTTGCTCTCCATCGGGCGAAACTTAGCTAAATCTCACTGTCACCTGCAAATTGTTCAAGGTTGTTGCCAACGACAGGCGACTGCTCCTTGCCACGAGGAATTTCATGGGCTTGGGCTGACTATAGGCCAGACAAGTGTGCATTAGTTAACAACGACATGTTGTAAAAAAGTAACACTTCAAGCGAAGCGAAATAATATACTAAACGCATTGCATACCAAATACATTGTTGAACACTATTTATTATCTTAAAATTAAAAACAAATTAATATACATATCTAATAAGTTTGAACTGAACAAATTGTTGTTCGCAGCGTAGTTTACCACAAGGTTCAACCTGTGATTACAACAGGGCACAAAAAATGCTCTAGGACTATATCCAAAATTCGATTCTGTACACCGCTATGTTGATGACAACAATACAGCTTAGAATTTCGACTGGAGATGCTACATTTCCTCCAAAAGTTTTCAAAATCTGTAGTCTATGCATAAGATCTATACTATTTATATAGCTTTGACTTTTATCAATTAATGCTATTGCAGTTTCTGACATAAGCTGAGCTGATCTTGTAAATATATGTAAACGAAAATACGTTATGCCGATGCTTATGTAAGGGTACAGGGGCGCCGTAGAAGCGTTCGACAAATTCCTAAGTCCTTACTTTGTTCTACTGTTGCAATCCTAGTAATTTGGGCAACAATTAAAATTTTATTTTTATTTTTATTTATTTTTTTAATCATTATTTTTCTTCTGTGTGATTGCTTGTTTTTATTGTTATTCTACGTAAAAAAAAAGGTACGTGCAGTTACATATTATGTCAAACCCAGTTAGTTTTTTAATTCAGAAAAGCGGCGATTTGAGCATAATTACTCGAAAAACGTTTTTTTTTTTTTTTTTTTTTTTTTTTTTTTTTTTTTACATGAACCATTTGTTTATTAAACTAAAAATTATTATCTTTCGCGAATAAAGTATAACGTTGCGCGCCTCTAACTTGCACGCAACCAAGAGGTGACTGTGAAAGCTTGTATAAACCACAGAGTCTTATAAAGGGTTTAAGTCCCTTTTTATTCAACGAAATAATTTACAATTGCGTCTTCTTGACGCTTACAAACTGTGCCACCTTGGCAGTCAAATAAAAATAATAACCTGAAAAAGAAAGTAAAGACAAGATTCTAACTACGAGGCTCTCTAAAGTAACTAACTCACCGCGTTTTACAATACCTCTGCTAATTCAGCAGACTTGAAGCTCACTGGAACAATTGCCACTACTTCCCGCCAAGCACATAGGCCGCAACGCGGGGATCTTCAATTCTCGATAACTACCTCCGCGCTCGCTAAGTAAGAATAACTCTCTCACCGAACTCGTTTCCCCTTCTATTAAATCATACTACTTCCGCGATAATTTGAATGCTTGCGCGTTCTACTCAACTTTACATATTCTGGCATTGGCATTTCCAGGGGAAAGTAAGGCTTGACAGGAAGATAGTTTAAACTTAAATAAATGTTAGTTAAAATAAATATAAACCCTACATTTGCCGCTGCCAGAATTGGAAAACTTGGAAGCAGGTCCTACAAACGACCTGTTGTAAGTTTATCTAATTCTGAACTAACTGGCAAAAGCATCGTTTACACAAAAAAATCTTATGGTAACAATTATATATTAAAATTCTGTTACTCGTTACAAAGCTTTCTTCTTACAGCAACTTTTCCTGGACTCATCAATCAATCTTGGTCTTTCCTTCCAGCATCTGGAAGAATAAGTATCAGTATCTTCTACATACATTATAATTTACACTTTCTTGACACAATAAATTTTTGTTTTAACGTTTTCGTTTTTCTTAGTTATTGCTTACTTCACATTCATTCAATTTTTCAAGCATTAATTTAAAACTTTACCCCTGGCTCTCCACCATGTGTGGTGTCAAACGGGAATATTCGTGTTTTAGTCTTACAACACTTCCCCTAACCCACCATGATTTTTTAGAATTCAACAACCAAATAGACACACCTTACTCGACATCTAACTCAATGAGCTACTTTAATATTCTTAAAAATTCAAATGTAGTTGGAGAACCCTACAAAAACACATTCATTCTAACTTCCCCCTCATTCATCTTTAAACATGCAGCTTTCGCTCTAAAGCATGACTTTACAGTTTAATACTTAAATTTTGACTTCATTGCTTTTAAGCATTCACTTTTAGGCATCTACAATTTTATGCTTCTAGACTAAATTCTACTTTACATAACATGCAATATTTACATACATTTACAAAAGTTTAATACATATGCTTTTTACAATTTACCATAAAATGAATAGAGAAAATAAATTTTTACTTTACTCATTCTTCGCCAAGCTGGCGGCACTGAAACTAAAATCTTATTAGTACAGAATACGAAGTTATTTTTATCTTCGGCCAATTTCGCTTTAAACAACAATTAGTCTTTCGACCAACAGAAAATGCTTGTTTTTTTAGCTTTTACCTTAAAGAAAATAATACTTTTGCCTTAGCTAAATAAAGTAAAACAAACTAAGTCTCAACCGAGACTATTGACTTTCGTCAAAACATAGAACTTCGTACTTATGCATAAACTTTCGGAACAAAGAGAAAAATATTTATAGAACGTTTTAACTTATCTTTGAGTTTTCGATGCTTGAAATCCCGTCATCCGTTTTTTGGCAAAATTGATCCCAATTAGAGGTTTCATGGATGTCAATCTTCTCCTTATGATCTCCGAGTGTCGTCCCCGTTGCTTTTTTTTGCGGCGTCCTCTACATGCTGGCCTCTTGACGAAGTAATCGTCTGGTTGTTGGCCTTTGCGTTTCTGGCCTGGGACGGCTGGTCTTGACGTCCTCCGGTCTGGAGTCCTTCTTGATTTCTTCGTTCGTCGTATTTTTGTGCCTCCTGTTGGCGTTTCAGTTTCCGGAACGGCGGCCTTGCTGTCACCTGACTCTGTGGCCGTGGCGCGTTCTCCTTGATGTGTAATTTCTCCTGCCATCTTTTTGTAGGTGGTGTTTTCGTCTTTACCACCGTTTCTTTACCCCGGTTCATCTGTATTTTTGTTTTTCTTAAACGCCGGATTTGAAAATCATTTTTTCTTTTTGATACCGACGTCCGGGTTGTAGAAGTGCTATTCTCTCTCAGTTCTCCGTTTCTTTTCTTGGGTGGTGGAATAGTTGTTGCAGTCTCTGGCCCTTCTATTCGTTTAGACTTGAGTCCTGCAAGAAACTTTTAAGGATTTCAAAATCATTTGGATTATAGAATTTTTTCACCTGGTCGGGACTTGCTTTACAGATTTCCCCTCTCTCGTTTTTAAGATATAAGACTACTCCTTTGATTTCCTCCTGAATTAACATAGGGGCCTTCAAACTTTGGAGCTAGCTTTGCCATAAAATTGTCTGGGGCACTTGATAAAGAAAATTTCCGTTTC